TCACACGTATTTTAGGACGGCATTTCTGTCCAGACGTCTTATAATGCTATTTCTCTCGTTCTTACGTTTGCGATAGAGGATGGAAGATCGCCGCGACTCCCACCACTATTCCCTCTCCAAGCGTCCGACGATCGTATACCGCTAGCTCCCTCCGCCACTCCGTGCTGCTCTTAGCTCACCTACACGCAGCAGTGATGAGTGACGCGTTATCGTGTGCGAGTCACACGGATATTCGGACGGCATTAACGCCGGTGCGTGTACGTACCCCCGCCCTTCTATCTTTTCAAACCTCTCCGTACCTATCTCCTTTTTCCCTTCTTTAGTCGTTTCCCTCACTTTTCCACATCTCACACACACTTTTCCACCTATCTTTTACTCCACTCTTCTCCTCCTCTCACTCTCCTCCTCTCACTCTCCTCACACTTTCAAACACTCTCTTTCATTCTCCTTCACTCTTTTTCTCACTCGTCCTAAAATCACCAGTCACTCGCACTCGCTCCGGAAACAGAAGTCAACAGAAGTCAAACTAAGTAAAGGAAAGTGTGGCAAGAGCAGAAGAAACAAGGAAAGAAGTGTAGATAAGGGAAAGATAGGGAGTAGGGTTTATTAGGGAAAGGAGGAGAAAGGCAAAGGAACAAAGGGAGAAATGGAGGAGAAAGAGAAAGGCAAGATAATGAAAGGAAAGAAGAAGGTAATTGGAAGTGGAAAAGAGGAGAGCAAAGGGAGTACAAGCTTGGACGAGGTGTGGAAAAGGAAAAGAGGTTCGATAGGAAAGGGAGGAAAGAGAAGAGGAAGAGGAGAGAGAATGATGCATTTAGAAAGGGAAAGAAGTTAGTGGTGTGCATTTAGAAAAGGAAAGATCACCTCAGAAAAGGAAAAAAATGAAGGAGAATGGAGAAGGGAAGAGGGAACGGAATGAAGGAGGAAGAGAGAGATAGAGGAAGGAGTTGATGGAAGAGCTGAGGGAAATAAAAGAGGAGTTAAAGGAAGTAATGAAGGAAGCAGTGAGGAGCCAGGGAAGAGAGATGAGAGAGGAGATGGAAGCAATGATAAGGAGAATGAGAGAGAGGGAAGAGGAATGGGGAAGAGAGAAAGAGGAAATGAGGGGTAGAATAGAGGAGCTTGAAAGAAGATAGAAAGAAGAAGAAGGGGAGGGAAGGAAAGAAAGGGAAGGGTAAGGTAACAGATTGGAGGCTAGAGTAAAGGAAATGGAAAGAAGAATGGAGATGAGAGAAAGGGAGAAGAGAAGGAAAAACATATGGGTGAAGAGGTGGAAAGGAGGAAAGAAAGAAATAGAGGAAAGAATCAGAAGAATGTGGAGTAAGGTGGGAATTG